ATGTTCATCTATCCGGGTGTACACTCCGCACCTCCGGTCTCGGAAAGTAAATTGAAGATAATACTAACTACATTAAAATATGTTGGTAACACTAAAATTCTCAACAATGTATGTTTGTATGCATGTATGAATAATAAGATTTTCGTTGTATCAGCTTGATATATTTATACTTGTTTGCATTGTATACAACAGTATCTACCAAATTTGAAGATAATGGAACTTTGGTATTTGGATAACCTAATCATGACACCAAATTTTGATGGACTTCCCAAGCTTGAAAGATTCATTCTTAAAGGATCTCCACATTTGAAAGAGATTCATTCATCGTTTGGAGGCTTGGACAGGCTTGTTTGCTTATGTATAGTAAAGTGCGAGGGTATTAAGAAATTTCCATCCATTACTCGACTACAAAGAATCGAGACCCTTTCATTTGCAGGTTGCCCTAGACTTATTGAGTCCTTAAAGATCCAACAGAAGATGGACAGTTTGGGAGATGAAGACGTTAGCTCTGGTGCTTGGGAGTCATCCAACTTAAACCACATAGGGTTATGTATTCTTGGCAGATGCTTAAGAGATTTGTGTCTGGGCTTGTGTGGTTTTGGAGATGAAGACACCGGCTCTGCTGTTCGGGATTTGCCCAACTTAAAACATATACGGTTATGTTTTTGTCGCCAATACTTAAGAAAGTTGGATCTGAGTGGTTGCAATTTGGGAGATGAAGACATGATCTCTGCTGTTTGGGAGTTACCAAACTTACAAGAACTTGATCTATCACACAATAAGTTTTCACGATTAGAATTTATTCTCATACGAACTCCGAGCCTCAAATTTCTCAATGTGTCAGATTGCAAACGCCTTGTAGAATTGTCAGAGCTCCCATCTAGCATAGCTGTTCTTAAAGCAAACAATTGTAGCTCACTTGAAACATTTGGAGATATTTCAAACTGTAAATGGCTGTGGAAAGTCTCGTTTCGTGGGGCCAACAAAGTAGGTGATGGTGATCCACCTGATGGTACATTGCTAGACTCCATGCTCAAGGTTAATTTGGCTCTACGTTAATTCCTTTGGAATTTCAATCTATAATATTATACAAACCCAAACATGCAGAAGAATCACGACTGAATGTGTTTTACATGTATGACAGGGAAATGCTTTTAATGATTACCGTATCAGTGTCACTCTTCAACATCATATTCCAAAGCGGATTGTTGGTAGGCTCTTACGAGGGAACGCATTTACACTGCGTCATCTTCCATGTAATTGGTACAATGAGTTTTGTGGGATCTTAATTCACGTTGTTACCTTCAAAATATTTCCAGAAATTCATATACTCATCAAGCAGGAGGTCGATGAAGTTTCTCGATTTGAGCTTGGCCATGGACGAGAATCCAGTGAAGAACTGGAGTCTGAATATGATGGAACAAAGACATATGTGGGATATGTTTCCTTTAATTCATTGAGGGGCACTGCATTCTTGAATTCAACATACAATGTCATTTTGATTTCTCTACGCCAGCATGGGTTTCCTATTGGAGCTACGGATAGAATAGGAGCTGCACTCGTTCCTAAAAATGATCCGGTGCAAACAACAAAACTCGAGACAGATTGCTCAGAATTTTGGGATGAAGATCATTTTAGACCCACATTTACGATCAAACAAAATACAAAGTCATGTATTAATATTTTATGGCGACCTAATCATTAGGACAACATCTAGCAAACTCATATATATAGATATCTTAATTTCCTGCTTTTCTCTTTGAAGGATTGCTCTGCCGCTATTGTTTTTTTGCTTCTGGCTTAGTAGTTTCTTTTACCATCATTTACTTTTTTTTTCCTGCATCTGAGTGTTGTTCTTTTTCTTTCTTCTAATAACAGAATCCTTAGAATATATATGGATATTTCAACATAACTTAGTGTGGTGATCGAAAAGTTATTTAGAACTTATAGTTTTGATCGTCCTTATTGTTTTCTATCAAGAAATACTCGAGTATAATCTGATAGTAGCTAGTATAATGTATATAAAATCAGTTTTTAGATTTGTCCACACTCCATATAGTTAAATGTCACAATACGTGAAATATATTCTATTTTGTCTAATTTCATATATAAACTTTTGTATCAAAGAGTTCATATTGCTTATAAATTGATCATTCAAAAATTCGATTAATTTTACCGTTTATAGTGCCTTGTAATCACCTCTCATACCTATAACAATTTGTAAAAAAAGTATTCATTTTAAACCACTTCTAATCACCTCTCAATTCTATAAATAGAAAACTGGTTTAAAAACTAAAAGTAAGGTGAAACGAAGAAATACATATGTACCCTCAAGTTTTGGTGGTCATTTTCAAGTGCTATTCTGTCATTTTTGTTCTTAGAAACTAAATTATCAATAATCAAATATCACAATTTTACAGGCACATTTAGAAAGTTGTGCCTATGTTTGAGAAAATTACAGAAATGGTCCGTGTATAAAATTATAATTTATCTATTGGTCCCTATGTTTAAGAAAGATACATAAATGGTCTTTGTAAAGTTATTTAATGGTTCCTATGTTTGAGAAAATTACAAAAAATGGTCCTTGCAAAATTATCTAATGGTCTCTATGTTTGAGAAAATTACAGAAAATGGTCCCTACAAAATTATTTAATGGTTTCTAAGTTTGAGAAAATTAAAGAAATGGTCCTTCTACAAACTTCATATTTTATTTAATAGTCACTATGTTTGAGAAAATTAGTTAAATGATCCTTGCAAAATTATCTAACGGTCCCTTAATTTCCTTAGTTTGAGAAAATTACAGAAATGATCAACGAGCCAAAATTAGATAATTCTCTATGAGTAAGAAAAAATTAGAGAAATGGCCCTATGTAATAGCAAAATTACAGAAATTGTCCATGTATAAGAAAAAATTACATTAATAGTCCTTATGTAGAACAGAGTTGCAAAAATGGTCCATGTGTAAAAGTAAATATTACAAAAATGGTCCCCATCAAAATACAATAGACATTGTGTAATAACAAAATTACAGAAGTGATCCCTTTGTAAGACAAAACTACAATGGTGCCAGTGTAATAGCTATTTCAGTAAGGATAGTAATTGTGAAGGGCGTAGAGGTATGCACTGAAGAGATTTTTTTTAGAACAGCTAACATATCAACTATCCTCTCTTAAATCTACACCTTTAGTCTACAAAGAGACTTGATTCCTCAACCTTTGGTTGAAGGGCACCTTTTCGTCAACTCCTTATACCGCTAGGAATAAACCCTTTGGTTTGAAGTATTAGTATTTATTTTAGGGCTAATTAGGAAAAAGCACTATATTTTTCCGAGTGTTCGGTTTAAGAACCAATTTTTAATACGTTCTGAAAAACCACCAATTTTTATTAAAATATTTTAGTGCGACCACTATTATTTGCACCTGTTATGTGTTATGTGTTGTGTTAATTACGAAAAGATACTATATTTTTTCAAAAGTTCGGTTTAACCACCAATATCTGTTCAATTCTTAAACTAATTGTCAGTTCAATATATATCGATTGAAGGCAAACGGGCAACAAGCTGCGCCACTAGTTCTTTCTGGATGGCAAAACCAATTCTGTTGAAAACAACATTTGTGGATCTAGGAGATATGACATTAGAATGCATGACCCGTTGGACTCTATTAAGGAGCTCCACCGTTTCTGGTGCGAGAAAACCAAATGTATCGAATGCAAAAGGAACAAACACATGTTGATTTTCTCTACATGCATTCTCGTGCTTCACCACTTTGCACGCAACGGCTTTCAAAGCGGCATGCCCAGCTGCGAAACCTCCGCTCCCCAAACCAACAAGAGGAGAGACACCAGTAAGATCCGTGCACACATGCTTCCATCCTATCCATCCAAAGACCAAAATGTCAGCCAGTCTAAGCGTGGTAAAACTTTTATCCAAAAAATGGGTAGTTTTTTCGTAATAACCCTTCATTTTAAACCACTTCTACTCACATCTCAGTCCTACAAATTGAAAAACATGGGTAAACATTCAAAGTAAGGTAAAATAAACAACATATACAAAATGTTACACCAGGATAACACCAGATTAGATACAAAAAGAAAAGGCTTTAATCATTTGTTTATTATAGCATCCTACTTCCTTTCCTTCCTATTTTTTAAACATCTAACAAATTACGAGAATGCCATCTAAATAAAAAAGCAATTATAAGCATAACATTTCCATTTTTTTATATGTTTAGACATTATACAATGAATAATCTACCCATTAAAAAAATATCATCCAAATACAAAACAAGTCGCATTTTACTTTAAACAAATTATTTTTAGGATGTTGCTTAGAAAAATCTATCCAATTACAACAGCGAAAAATTGCTTTCTACTTGGATGATGTTGGAGTAGATTTTTCGAAGCTTTCTACTTGGATGATGTTGGAGTAGATTTTTCGAAGAACAATGTTGTAATATGAAGAAAGGAAAATAGGATGCCATAACAAACAAATCAGTGAATGTGTGTTTCTATTTCTTGCATTTAACCTCTTATGAAAAATTCTAAAAGTATTAATTTCAAACCACTTCTAATCACCTCTCATCTCAATATGGGAAATAGAAAACTTGTGTCAAAACTTAAGAGTAAGATAAATAATAAAAATAAAAACAAAAACAAAAAAATATACAAATATTCTCCAACTGGTTCGCAAGGGCCAAACCTGACGATAAAGACATCAATCTCCTCAACTTTACTCGGATGGCCTACGAGAAGAAGCTGCCAAAACAAAATGAATAATGGAATATTATGGTGATTTGTTTTATCGAATATAATAGATATTTAACAGTTGGATTTAAAAACATCAACAGTTTGATGATAGCACATTCCAAATGTTCAGCAGCTTCAACTAAAATTTCATCTTTGATCAATATCAGCCCCATATATAATAAATAATAATGATCATTAATGGTTTGACGTACTCAAGGTCCTTTTCAAGTGCCGGTCTGTAATTTATGTTCTCCAACACTTGCAACACATGCACCTACAAATAGTTAACACGGTACAGTTCTACATTTAGCTGGAGGCATGACTATCGCATCCTAGTTTCCACTAACTCTCTCCTCTCATGGTTTTAGGAAATGATGACAAATAAATAGAAATAATAAATGAAAGATTAACAACCAGATGTTGGGAACGAATATCGGCTAAAAAGCTTCCAATATATGCATTAATGAATATTTTTCTTTATATGTTGTCTTACACTCTTGAAGCCCAAAACATGATCCATTGTCATTTGTTGGCCACTTTTCCCCTGGATAAAGCAACGCCAGGAATCTACAGATAAAAATTAAATGGTTGTACGGTTATTACAAGATGCAAGATCAAAACTAAAAATGGCTATCATGCAGAAAACTAACACATGATAATTTTATCAATATTAGTTAACACTTGATAAATTAAAAATCCAACATTGTGGGAAATTAACCCAATTATAACAATGTACTTTCAAAATTGTTCTTATTAAGAGGAGTTATATGTCCTACTAGCGAGTTTATATTTGAATGGCACTGCTATAATTGTTTAAATGACAAAACTACCCGATTTTGTAATTATTCTTTCAATTTTTTCTTATAGGGAGAAAACTTTGAAACATCCACCCACTTATTTCATTGACATTGTACCTTCGATTTTTTTTAACTAACAAAACATTGTACATGAAAAAATCTACCCAATTATTTCAATAAATATTTCTTTATACTTTGATGACATTGCTATAATCATATTTGTCAAACTCATACGAGTCTATGAATCGAGTTATTTCAAACCCAAAAAGTAGTGACTTGGTAATATGGAATTTGATGGTTAACTCGTACCGAGTCAAGCCAAATCGTGACTCGGACGAGTCATATATCCTACCGGCAGGTAATAATCCTTCTTTTGGACCAAGGGCAGTACTATCTAGTGACTACATGTTGGGCTGGAGGAAAAGACCAAAATACATTCTGAAAAAAGTGAAGATAAATTCGAAAAAAAAAAAAATCAAAAACCTTGTTTGTTTCGGAGGAGGTCAACACCAATTCCATAAAAAGTCAGACGTTCATTATTCTTTCATAAGAATTGAAGGAATTAAAGCTAAATCCTAAGTCATCTTTTCGGGGAGGAAACCATTGACAAACATCAAAATCTCCGGTTCTAAAGACCTCATCCGGTGGTGACAATAAGCCTTAGTGGTTGACTTCTTCTTCTCTCTCATTAGTGAGCAGATTGTTGTTCTAATGACGATCACTTTGAACCTAATTTCTAGTTTACGATCTTAGTTATGTTTCTTTAAAAATGGTACATTCCAAACACCGTCTAAAAAAGCTAAAGCTAAAATCAACCTGAACAAGGGTTAGGTATCTAATAGCTTCCTAGTATAGCAAACTACCCTGTAAAAGCATCATATTAATCATCAGTGGCATTGTCTTATTCTTGGATATTCAAGGGTAAGTTTTATCAACAATGACAACAAGAAAGGACCCGGTTTTGAAGAAAAACGGGTTTTATTAGTAGGGAAATAGGGGCTTTTCATTTATGATCCGATTTAAAACAAGTAACCAGGTTTTATACTCTTTGGAGTTTGGATGCTTTCACATAGGACTCGCCTTCATATAACCCTGTTGCAAAACCGGGTTCTATTAGCCATATTAACCGGGTTTATAGCCTTTTTTTGTATAAACTACAAGT